TAATTGACACAAATAGATTAGTCTATAGTCACATTGAAATTGATGCATAAAAATTTTGAAACGGAAGGCAAAGAGCATTCTTCATGTTTCTACTAAACTTCCTCGTTGGTGTGATTAAAGTTTGAAGATGTTCCTAATTTTCTGCTTCTTATTACATTTAGGATTAATTACTAGAATAAATTTGAAAAATGGGCTAATTATTAGAATAGTCTTGACAAAATATCAAAATACTAAAAAAGGGTTTAAAAGACATATAAACCAATGTTATATTTTATTATTATAAAAATGCCATTTTGACTTAAAAAACAAAATATGAAGAATTTGTTTGAGGGGCCACGGAGGCTACGGAAGCACCGGAGGCACGCGCGGTGGAGGTGTGGAGGCTGAGAAAGCACCGGAATTGAGATAAAATCGGATTAAAAATCATAAGGTGAAAAAAAACTCAAATTTCTTGATTTTTGATTAGAAAAAGGATATATTATGTTATATCTACTAGTTTTAGGCTAAACCCAGTTGAAAGCAAGTTAAAATACAGTAAAAACGAGCTAAAAAATTGTTGGCCGCCATTGTTATCGTTTGACAGCTTTTGGATTGGTGGAGAAGATGAACGGTAAATTACGATTTTATCATTTTTGAATAAGTCTACCACTACTATAAAATAAGTCTACCACATATTATAAATCTACCACTACTACAAATAAGTCTACCACATATTGTACATCTACCACTACTACAAGTCTACCACCTACCACAACAAGTCTACCATGCCGCTTATTTTTTAAATCTACCAGTACGCTTATCCGAATCTAAACAAGTCTATCGTCATTCAATATTAAGAAACAAGTCTATCGTAACTCAATATAGCCAAACAAGTCTACCATCATTATGATAGATTTACCAAAGATTGGTAGATTTGTTGTAGTAAAGACCTGCAAACATTGAATAAATCTACCAAGGAAAGTAACAAGTCTACCACATAATATTAATCTACCGCCACTATAAATAAGTCTACCATCGCTAACAATCAATAAATCTACCGATCAACAAATATAAATCTACCAAAGAGAGTAATAAGTCTACCACATCATATAAATCTACCGCCACTATAAATAAGTCTACCATCACGACGATCATAGACTTATTGATCGTCGTGATGGTAGACTTATTTATATCCGAATTAAATCTACCATGAAGGCAATTAAATCTACCACGAGTAATTAATCTACCATCACATAGAAATAAATCTACCACTCAACAATAAGTCTACCGAGATAAATCTACCATTCGACTAATAAGTCTACCACATCATATAAATCTACCGCCACTATAAATAAGTCTACCATCACGGCGCGCATAGACTTATTGATCGTCGTGATGGTAGACATTTATATCCGAATTAAATCTACTATGAGGGCAATTAAATCTACCACGAGTAATTAATCTACCATCACATAGAAATAAATCTACCACTGCATGAAAATAAGTCTACCGAAATAAATCTACCACTCAACAATAAGTCTACCATTCAGAAACAAATCTACCAACCACTAAATAAATCTACCATCACGTGAGCGGTAGACTTATTTAATTTTGGCGGGAAACTCATTAATGACAGTTTCATAAATACGTTTTTTGTTATCAAAGGAAATAAAGGCAAAACCGGGTTTAAAATTTTTTGAAGAGTGTTTGAGTAATTATGAAACAAAAACACCAAAATCATCAAAAAAACCCATTTATCAAGACTATTTTAGTAATTCTCCCTTACATTTATGAGTACTTGGCCCAAATTATTTCATCAAAAAGGATTGGAGAAAACTTACCCCAGTTCGTTTAGGAAAGCTTATTCTACCCCCGTGGTCCCTAAACACCTCATTGGTTCACTTCTTTTGGCTACAGTTGGTCACTATTACACTTTAACCAAGCTAATTCCTCTTCTCTCTGCCTTTTTATTCTCTTTTGAGTGTGAAATAGAAAATCATCAGGTGGAAAATGTCCTGCTCTTGTATCATTCTCGCTAGTATATATATAAACACTGTTATTTCCGATAAGATTTTTCCAACACTTGAATTTTGCAAGTCTCTTCTCCTTCACATATATACGAATTAGCATAACATTTTTTCTCTATCCTTTTTCCATGGCTTCTTCTTCTCCTCCTCGCACCTGGAAATACGATGTTTTCCCGAGCTTTAGTGGTGAAGATGTCCGTAGATCGTTCCTCAGCCACTTTCTCGAGAAGCTTCAACGCAAATTAATCATTACTTTCATAGACCATGGCATCGAGAGAAGCCGCCTGATTGCAACTGAGCTTTTACTAGCGATAAGACAATCGAGGATCTCCATCGTTGTTTTCTCTAACAAGTATGCTTCTTCTTCCTGGTGTTTGAATGAATTGGCAGAGATCCACAAATGCTACAAGGAGATGAATCAAATGGTGATACCAGTTTTCTACGACGTTGATCCTTCTCATGTTAGAAAACAGACCGGAGAGTTTGGGAAGGCCTTTAAAACCACATGCAAAGGGTAAAAAAGAAGATGATAAAAAACGATGGAAGAAAGCTCTTGAAGAGGTAGCAAGTATAGCTGGAGAAGATTCTCGGAACTGGTATGTTTCCTTTTTCTTTGCTTAGATTTCGAGATTGTGCTTTCAGGAGCGATGAAGCAAAGATGATTGAACATATCTCCAATGATGTGTTTAAAAAACTTTTTACACCATCCGATGATTTTCGTGACTTGGTAGGGGATTAAAAGTCATATAGAGGCAATTGTGGGTTCAGTGTTGTGTTTGGAATCTGGGGGAGTGAGAATGGTTGGGATTTTGGGTCCTTCAGGGATTGGTAAAAGTACCATAGCTAGAGCTCTGTTCAGTCACCTCTCTAGCCAATTTGACCATCGAGCTTTCGTGTCTTATAAGAGAACCATCCAAGACAAAAGATTAACCATCCAAGACGACTATAGCATCAAGTTTGGTTGGGCAAAGCAATTTCTATCAGAAATTCTATGTCAAAAGGACATAAAGATAGAAAATTTAGGTGTGGTGGAACAAAAGCTAAAGCTTATGAAGGTTCTTATCGTTCTTGATGATGTGGATGAAATAGAGTAGGCGTTGGTTGGACAAGCCGGATGGTTTGGATTTGGAAGCAGAATTATTGTGGTCACTCAAGATAGGGCACTTCTTAAGTCACATGAGATTGACCTTGTTTATGAGGTTCAGCTACCATCGACAGAAGTGGCTCTTCAAATGTTTTGTCGGTCTGCTTTTAGGCGAAACTCTCCACCTGATGGTTTCATAAAGCTCGCAGTTGAAGTTGCAAAACTTGCCGGTAATCTTCCTTTGGGTCTCAACGTTTTGGGTTCTTCTTTAAGATGGAAGGACAAAGAGCATTGGGTGGAGATGATGCCTAGGCTCCGAAATGGTCTAAACGGAAAATTTGAGAAAACATTAAGAGTCAGTTACGATGGGTTAGATGACAAAGATCAAGAGATATTCCTTTACATTGCGTGTTTACTCAGTGGCCATAAAGTAAGTTACATCAGAAACGTTCTCGGAGATGGCGCTAACATTGGGCTGAGAATGTTGAATGATAAATCCCTCATATCTATAACATCATCAGGAGAAACTGTAGAGATGCACAATTTATTACAAATTTTGGGTAGAGAGATTGTTCGGGGATAGTCCATTAACAATCCTGGAAAACGTCAGTTCTTGATGGATGCTGAGGATATTTGTGATGTATTCAACGATAATACTATAAGCTTTTACATATCCTTTTTCATTACCGCGCGAGTCTTTACTAATTTAAGCAAGTCATTACAAATTATTGTGATTGTTAAGAGAATGATTTGTATTGCATGTGGTGATTTTATTTCAGCGCACAGAAACTGTCCTAGGCATATGTTTTAACACATCAGATATCAACGACCCATTGTTTCTAGATGATAATTCATTCCAAGGGATGTATAATCTCTGATTTCTAAAAATATATAAGGAGCGGTCACGAAAGAGTTTTGAAGGCAGATTGTATTTGCCTGAAGGCCTCATTTACTTGCCCCGCAAACTCAGAATACTCTATTGGGATGAATGTCCGTTGAAGTGTATGCCTTGTAATTTTAAGGCGGAGTTTCTGGTTAAGTTCAATATGAAAGAGAGTAAACTCGAAAAGCTGTGGGAAGGAACTCAGGTAATACATAG